ACGCCTGTAATCCTAGCTCTCTGGGAGGCCAGGGCGGGTGGATTGTTTGAGCTCAGGAGTTCGAAACCAGCCTGAGCAAGAGCGAGACCCCGTCTCTACTAAAAATAGAAAGAAATTAACTGGACAACTAAAAATACATAGAAAAAATTAACTGGGCATTGTGGCGCATGCCTGTAGTCCCAGCTACTCGGGAGGCTGAGGCAGGAGGATCGCTTGAGCCCAGGAGTTTGAGGTTGCTGTGAGTGAGGATGACGCCACGGCACTCTAGCCTGGGCAACACAGTGAGACTCTGTCTCAAAAAAAAAAAAAAAAAAAGAAAAAAATAAATAAAATGTGAATGAAATAGTTCAAAAACATAATGAATTTAATAAGTAATTTTATATTTATTCCTAAAGAGATATCTACAGGACCAGCCATTTGATCATTTATTCATCAAAGTTTTAATGGACCAGGAACTATCTAAATGCTGGAGGGACTGAGATGATTGACATTCTAATTCATTTATTCAGTGATTATCTATTGAGAGTCTATTATATGTTGAACTCTGCTTTTTGAAGCTGGGGTAAAAGGAAATGCAAACTCTTCAAGGAAGGAAGGAGTTTGTTGTGTTTGAGGAATGGCAAGATGGCAAGTGTGGCCACAGCAAAAATATCGAAGAGGAGAGTGTTAGGAGATGAGGTTGGAGAGATAAGAGGGACCAAGTCTTGGAGTGCCTTGTACGCCATGGTAAAGGATGGGGTCTGAGTGTTAAGGGAAGTGAGTGGAGGAGTTGGGGCTGAGGCTAGTCCCTCTGCCAGTTTTGTGGACAGTTGACTACAGGGGGTAAGATTCGAAGTAGGGAATTGTGAGTTGATCCTAGTAGTTTGGCTGAGAGATGATGGTGGCTTGGACATGAGGGAAAGAAATGGAGATGGTCACAAGTCATCAGGTTTGGGGTATATTTTGAATGTTGAGCTGTTTGGTAGGAGGAAGGGATAATAACTAATCATTTGAACGGAGAGGGAGGGCGTGTTGTCAAAGGAAAAAAAGAGTCAATACGAAAGTTTTTGTTCTCAGCAACTGGGTGGAAAATAGTGGTTATTTTCTTGTATGGGAAAGACTAGGGGAAGAGTAGATTGGGGGAATTAAAAAACCTGTTTGGACAAGTTAAGTCTGAGATGCCTATTAGAAATTCAAATGGGCAGTTGGATATATGAGTCTGAGTCTCAGGGGCTTTGGGGGTGGAGATATAAATTTGGGAATTATCAGTATATAAATTACATTTAAAGCTATGAAACTAGATACAATCAACCAGGGCATGAGTGTAAATAAAGAAGAGGACCAAGGGACGTATGCCAGCATTTAGTGGTGGGGAAGAGACGAGGAGGTGGCAGAAGAGATGGAGAGAGATTTGCCATGAGTGGAATAAAAACCAGGGGAAGGTGGTATCCCAGAAACTAAGCCAAGAAAGCATTTTGAGAAGGAGAGTAATAAGCCATAAAAAAAGTTCCCAAGAGGTCAAGATGAGGACTGAGCACTGACCATTGGATTGTTAATATATGACTATTCCCCTAAGGAGCTCACAGCACAGTGGGGGGTGAGAAAATAAGGAAACATAAATTACTGTACAGTGGTGGAAGATGTATCTTGGAGATGTAAACAAATTCCTGGATCTGGATTGAAGATGGAGCAAGGAACTCCTTTTGAGGAGTCAAGGAAAATTACATGGAGAAAATGCACTTTTGGATTCTGGTAGGTAGGATGAAAGTATAAAATCAGGATTCATACAACTTAAAAAAATTTTTTTTCTAGTTGGTTGTTGATTTTTCTGCAATCAGTCATGCAAAACTAATATTCCCCCTCCCAAGTTAACATCCCACTGCTATTACTTCATGTAGACATATTTGTCAATTATCAATATACACGGTAACTATTTCATAAGGACAATACTTATACTCCACATTCTACTCTCCTGGAGGATGTTCTTGGAATTATATTTTTTCTTGTTGTGGTTCTTATCTTTAATTACATTTTAGTTCTCTTTAATAGCTATGTGCAAATGTCGAGACCTTTTTCTTAATAATAATAGCTACTATGTACCTAACTCTTATCATATATGAGGTCTTGTTCTATAAACTGTACATACATTAATTCATTTTGTTCTTGAAAACAATGCTAATACTTTTATTGTCCCTGTTTTTCATTTGCTATAACTGAGGCACAGAGAGGTTAAGTAACTTGTTCTAGGCCACAGAGTAAATGCCAGAGCCGGTATTAGAATTGGACCATCATCTGAATTCAGAGCTCACCATCTTGTGCTTCCACCCTTACTTTTACATCTCTATTTTCCTGGGATGGGCAGTTATTAGTGAAAAATCTTGAAAGAATAGGTTCTCTATGACTTTAAATTGCAATTTTCTAAAGACTCAGTAACTCAATTGCAGATTGTCATTTTAGAGTGGGTCTATGGGACCCAGGAACTGGATACTGCATCCAAATGGAGAAAAGGGCATTTAGTTCTTTTACAATTGGTTGTAGATTCTCATGCGACTGCCTAAGGATTTATGTTCAACCAGGTCACCTATGAGGAGGGTAGTGGTAAAAAGAGCTCCAGTCTTTGCAGTAGAGGACAGGAGAAGACCCCTCTGCTTATAGAAATGATCACTTCATTATGATCTTAGATGTATGTGGCTCATGTCTTCATTTCCTTTTTAACCTCACTGAAAGCACACGAAATGATTATATACTTAAAGAGGTATAAAGTGTAAATCAAAGCAACTCACTATGTGCAAAGTAGTGCTCTGGGTACAGTGGCTGTGATTTCTTGGGAGCTTAAATAATACAATAGCAAAAATCTTTAAGATGCTTTAATGCTCAAACTATAGTAAATATGTACATAATTGAACTATAAAATAATTTGAGCCTACTGGAATCTAGCTGTGGCTCAGCCTTTGTTTGATCTCTGATGTGTTTTTTTTTAATAGGCTGACTTCATCTTTATTTTTATTTATTTTTATTTTTTATTTATTTATTTTTTTGCGACAGAGTCTCACTGTGTTGCCTGGGCTAGCGTGCCATGGCGTCATCCTAGCTCACAGCAACCTCAAACTCCTGGGCTCAAGCAATCCTTTTGCCTCAGCCTCCCGAGTAGCTGGGACTACAGGCATGCGCCACCATGCCCGGCTAATTTTTTCTATGTATTTTTAGTTGTCCGGTTAATTTCTTTCTATTTTTAGTAAAGACGGGGTCTCGCTCTTGCTCAGGCTGGTTTCAAACTCCTGAGCTCAAACAATCTGCCCGCCTTGGCCTCCCAGAGAGCTAGGATTACAGGCGTGAGCCACCATGCCCGGCCTGACTTCATCTTTAAAGATGGTTTTATCCTCTTTCTTCCTGACACCATACTGTAATTGGTTTATCCAATAGATGGGGATTTGGATACATAATTTTCATGAGCATTTGAAGCTTCTTCCTTTAGTAGATTTTGGGTTCTACCTTTGATCTCAAAGTTTTTGAAATAAGATACTAGCCACTTTCCCTTTCTTGGAAGAAAGAAGATGTAGCATAAATAACTTATGCTAAGATGTTTTCAGGACAAGAATCTGAGTAACTTTCCCAAGGCACAGACCCACAAATTTTATAATTAGTTTTTTTCTCAAGATGGAAGTCAACCTGTTCTTCTCTTTATTCTGTTTTCATTAAAATGTTCTTCTCTGGCCGTAGTCATTATATTTTCAGAAAGGCTTAAGGGAGCAAGCATTAAAATTTGCTCTTTAATTTCTACAAATATAGAAAAACCTTCTGGGAAATGCATACTATATTCACTGTGGTTCTCTTTCTGTCTGCTACGTAATATTGTCATAAATCATGTAATTGTAGGAGGAAACGGGGACTTAGGTGACGGTTTAGCTCTGGAAAAGAAGCTACTTCCTATAGAAGGAGGATTTCAAATGGCCACATAGCAAAGCAAACACTCACACTGGTTTCCTGTGAGCCATTTCCCCTTTGCTGAACCTGTCCCAAAGCCAAGGGGAAAGAAAAGAAACTTTCCTCTTACAAAATCTCAAACCTCAAATCACTGTGCCAATCACTGTGTTCAAGAAAGTTATAAAATTTAGGGTGCTGTAACCTTGAAGAATTTCATGAACTTGCATTTGATAAACTTAATAATATTTGTTTTGGAAAGTAAGAGAAAAAGTAAGAATCAAATGGAAACATTTAGATAATGCTATCTCACATTGACAAGTGTACCCACAAAACTTTAGAACACAAAACATCAAGGTTCACTGAACGAATTAAGTGGTGGCTACAGTATCTTAACTGTAATGCTTTAAAACATTTTATGCTCATTTTGCCCTTTCAGGACATACTTTAAAATGATTGAGATTTTATTTGTATTTTTACTTTTAAAACATATTAATGAAAAATGTTTCTTTTAACCTGAGATACAGATTGCCTAATACTTTTAACTACTTTTCCCCTGTCTACAGCCCCAAGAAAAGGAAAGTATAGTATTATGGCACCAATTGCTGTAGGAAAAAATGATTGTTTTATTAATTAATCTTAGCACTTTCATTTATGGATAGCATGAGGTGAATATGTGAAAAGTGGCAAGAACGTTTCATTTCTTGTGTGTCTAGTGGCGATATACTTTTTCTTTTTGTAGAAAAGAAATGTGATGCAATTACCCTGCATTTAAAAATGTTCCTAATAAAAAGTTAATGATCTTCAAGCAAATGGTGAGTAAAATCTCTGCCCCAAATCTAGAGGGCAGTTCAGGACATTTCCCCAGTGTTAGTGATTTGCTTTAAGGGGGAAAAGGTGTTATAATACAAACTGAGGCACGATTGTTCTCCCAACAATTCCAGCCAAGTCCTTGGTTGTCTGTTATGCTACGCTCCCTGGTTACTGCCAAGCCAGCACCCCATACTGACCTTAGAAATAAACCAGGCCCCTCTGAACTTGGGGTATCGCCTCCCACATCGTTCATCTGGATGCAGAGAGAGTTTCCCACTTTTTCTTACCTGCATAATGGTCAAACACAGTGGGCACATACTCCTCTGGGAAGGCGTCATTGGCGTAGCTCATCAGCAAGCAGGTTTTCCCCACGGCACCGTCCCCAACCACCACACACTTCAGCATCTTCTTCTCGTCCTCGTTGCCACCGCAGCCACAGCTGCTGTCAGTTTCCTCTCTGCAGTTCATTCTTGCGGCTCCAGCTGCTAGGACTCCTGCTGCTGCTTCTCTTGCTTCTTCCAAAGCACATGAAGCGACGGGAAGCCAGTGCCAGGCTTGAGTTCACTCTGCCTTACTTTTGGTACCTTGGCTCATACAGACATGTCCGAGGCTGGGATATGCCCTGTCGCTTACCATGCTGGCAAAGAAAGGTCACACACACTTGGGAGGAATTATAAAAAGGGTCCTGTGCCTTTCTCCTATCAGTTTGAGTTAAGAAACCCTCATTTTCACAGAATTCTAGGGGCTTCCTGGCAGTCTAGAAATTTCAGCAGCGTCAGGGTTTTACTCTGCTTTCTCCTTTTCCAGCCTAGCTGAAGACACGGAGGAATTTTGCTAAATCTTCCCCATTTTCCAGTGCACATCTAACATGGAGGAAAGCTGGGCTTTTTAATGGAGTTTTTTCCCCTCGCTTCCTCCAGCTTGCGGAGTGTCAGGAAATCATGGGTTTCCTGCTGCATTCCATATTAGGATCAGTGGGCTGGGGAAGGCTGCAACAATGGGAGCTCTGTGTGTGTGTGTTTGTACTTCTGGGGAACGATGCCAGGACATGGAGTGGGAAAACACTAGGGGTCCCACTGCAGACTCAAGCTGTCAGACTTCCTGTTTCATCCGCTGCTTGTGAAGCTGTTTGCTCCTGGCTAGCTGGGAAGGAGGGAAGAAGCTGACGAGAGGATGGAAAGTTGGGCAGTACTGTCTGCCACAGAAACCAGGGAATGGTTTGAGTGAGCAGAGAGAACCACACGAGCAATCGTAGGATAACATGACATCATCCCTCACTGAGTCACCAGTTAAAGGCTCTGCAAATTAAAAACGAACAGTTCTTTACTCAGATGAGAAACTTTAAGGGATTTTTTCCTGCAATAAAGAGGAAAACCTTCCTGCGTTACATCGTTTCAAAGGGAAAATTTTTTTAGGTCATAGGTATGATATGTGTGATCAGGTTTATAAGCGACCACGTTTGAGCTTAACACTCAAATGTGTATTCTACACACAAACATTTGTTACGGTTGTAGCACATAAGAAATCAATCAGATGGGGGATGTTCGCATTCTCTTATTAGTAAATAAACACACATGCGCTTGGCTCAGACTTAACACCCTTGGAAATGAGAGGGTGTAGGACGGCTTTCTGGTTTGTTTAAGGTCCTTGATGCTGTTTTTGCTTGGACGGTTCCCTTTTTGATTTTGTCCTCTCCCCTTGGGTCAGCCTGGCCCCTTTCAATTACAAAGGTGCCCTTGACAGCTAATTTATTTGTCTGTTGGGTCACTCAAAATGAAGCCCCTTTGAAGCTCTGCATTTGATTAATGTACTTGGTCTTAGAAAAGAAGTGGAACTCTGCAAATGATTTTTGACAAAAGGGTCAAAATGGGGGAACTCTGTTTTTCTTTTTCTTTCTTTTTTTGAACACTGATTTTGAAGAATTCAGATTATCCAATTGCTTTGAGAATTTTTTTGGGGGTTGGGGGAGGTGGGAGAGAAGTCTGTTTTACTAAGTGGTTATCATCCACATATCGTGTATATATGTGTGTGTGTGTGTGTGTGTGTGTGTATGCCACTATATAATATAGTCCCAAATTTCTTCTGTTTTGGTTTATGGTAGCATTAACTATAGTGCTCAGTGTCCCAGTATTTCTTTCCTATGAAGTGATGATGTTTTAATCCGGTTATGGTGTATTAGCTAGGTTATGTTGCAGTAACAAACAATCCCCAGAGCTCAATGATTTAAAATAATATGTGTATTTCTTGCTCATATTGTATCTCTATTGTGTATTGTGTTATCGTGTTTATTCAGTGATCGAAGCTGATAGAGAAGTCACATTGAGAACACTGATGATCACTGTGGCAGAGAAAGAAACAGATGTGGTGAAGAGGCTTTGAGAGCTTCTTCCTGGAAGTGATCCTTCTGCTCATATTCATTGGCCAAAGCAAGTTACCTGCCCATGCTCAGTTCGACAGGAAAGTCAGCATAATCCTACCATGTGCCAGGAAGGAGGGAACACAATATTGGTCAGCAGCCTGCATGACAACCAGAGATGGCTTAGTTGAGGTTATATTTGCAATATGCAATATGGAAGGTGAATTGCTTATTATTAGTGCCATTCGAGAGCATTTGAAGACATCTATGACTACATGTGATTTATATAATTTTATTCTCATTTTGTCTGCCTGGAACACCTAGACTATGTGATAATAAAATTGCAATTTGAAAACTTATGTTTTACTTCTAGAAAACAGGCATGAGTATGAAGGTGGCAGCCAAACATGTCTTTGCAGGTGAGAGTGATTGGCAGCGTTGAGAACCTCATCCTGAAGATGAACAAGATCACACTGAGCACAGTGAGCGTAATGTGATGAAATATGTTTGGCAGAACCTTGAGGGGGTTCTTCCTTTGACCTTGTCCTTGAGATTGGGTGGTAAATGTGGCACGGTGCTCCATTCAGGGAGTTCTAAGACATGCCTGCCCCTCCTTGTCAACTGAAAGCCTGTATTTCTACACTACAAACATGCCCCGCCATAAGCAAAAATTGAGAAATTGGATTAAGGTGAAATTTTTACATTTGTATATAACCTAAAGCTTGTACCATCAGACACAGATATTTAAGCCCATTCTGATCACTATATGGACTGTGAATTGAAAAGTTCAAGAGGCTTGAAGCAGGTAGTTATGGGTCCTTTACCTCTAACTCAAAGGATTGGTACGGCTGCCAGATTGGATTGTATGCAAACATGGGTTATGGACATTGAGAATGCTGGCTCTATTTCTTAAAATAAACTTGTTTCATCACTGTTTGCTACCCCACAAATTGAATATTTATGGAGAAAAGATTTGGAGACAGTCTATTAAAAATGGCAAAACAGTTAAAATTTTAGTACCTCAACCTGATGATTATGTGGATCACATTGTCCATGTGAGAATAAATCTTTTTAAATATTAAAAAACTGACCTGAACCAAAATAACAGAATCTTAAAAAAAAATGTCAAGACAATTCAGCATTGTTCTTATAGATCCATGAGTCCCCAGAATTATGATTACTTGCCTGGGTAGAATGGTCAAGAATATACTTTAATTCCAAACGTTTATAGGTATAAATTTAGAAGTGGTATGAAGACCATTCACTAAAATATTCTTAACCAGCTGCTTGTGGTTTTGGATCTTGGGCCCCGTAAATGATTGAGTGGTGGTTACATAGCCATTAGTTATTTGGTTTACCTCAAGTACCGAGTTTACACAAACTTACCAGTATGTGGTGAAATTTTGTTAGGTGATGTTTTTTGCTTTTTCCAAGAGATCTTATTTCCTTGGTTCCCCTTGTTCTCTGAGCTTTGGCTTCCCATGAATTTCCCCAAATACCAATTTGCATAAAATTCTGACTCCTTTGGTTGCTTTCAGTTTTATTGCAACTTTAATAAAAGAACCAAGCCTTCTCTCCCCTGTCTCTCTCTCTCTCCTTTCTTTATTGGCTTTCTTTTCTTTTCTTTTCTCTTCTATTCTTTTCTTATCTTCTTTCTTTCTTGAAACTAAAAGTTACTCGGGAAGTAATGCAATTGGATCAGACACTCTGATTCTGGATTAGTCTCTGTGTAGGAGATTGTTTTGACTCCAGTCTTAGGATGTGAGATGTGCCATGATTCTGATGATTCCAGGATGCCCAGCCTAGTCATGTGTCACCTCCACTACAGAAAGCCTTTTCTGGAGCTAATGTGCCAGTCTGGCCTCTACTGGTGGGGGGTATGATGTGAATCAGGAGGGGTCATGTAGTTTTACATGTTCTGACACAAATCTCCCACTGGCCTAAACCTCACAATCAATTGGGGCACTGCTGAAACTGAACAGGCTGTGCTAGGACTGGTCTGGACTGGAACCATCCCTCCCTAGGGAGAAGGGTGAGTCATCACCATCAGGGATGCTCATGTTTCTGCATTTTTCATCTGTGAGGCCACCTGCACTCAGCCTCTGGCTATTGCCCATGTCAAATCATGCCATGCATCATACATCACATCACATCGCATCATAGCGTATCAACTACATTTTCTTAGACATGCTTTTTTTGTAATTCAAGAAGTGGGAGCTTTCTTTTTCTTGCTTAGAGGACTTCTCTTTCTATTCCCAAATCTCTTAATTATGAGAGAAGTAGGTTACTTGCAGATCACAGGCAGACAAAACTTCTCTCTGTTCCAGGAAAGAAGAGGCCAATTTGGCCAGTAATGACAATGGGGTGTTGTCTGCATGTGTGTTTCTTCTGTATTTCATTATTGTATACCTTAACTCCGAAAACATAGCTTTGTCTCAGAGGAAGAGTTCTGTGGGTTACCTGTTTTTGATCTTCCTCTATAGAAACCAGGAAATTAGGGACTTTCAAGTTCCCCCTATCTAGAAAATCTGGAGATAGATAACAGTTTAGAAAAAACTTTCCCATTGATTCTTGATCTTCCAGATTGGAGAGGTGTGTTTTGGAAGGTAGAAAAGTTTGACATTGAGGTAGTGCTGGGTTGGGTTGTTCCTCCATCGAAGCCACACAGCAGGGGATAGCTTGTGGAAACAGCCATTCTGTAGTCAAACAAAGATCTTTGGTGATTACTTCATCTAGTTAGTGATAGTGACATGAATCCAAGAAGGCTAAGGCCATTAGATTGGTCATTGTTGGGACAGGCAGGCAGCACAGTGTCACTGCCACAGGCTGAACTTCTGTGGATTCAGGGCCATGTCACAACTTATTATTACTTTTCGTATGAGGGGTCTTTTGGGAGAGTGAGAAAGATTGGTGGAAAACAACCCAAACAACTCAAAACATATCCTGTACTTAGGATGCACTGGTAGTATCAATGTCATAAAAAATTTATACATAGATTGAAGACTTGAATAGCTGGGGACATGGTACTCTGTTGTATGCAAGGTGGCATTTTGGTTATCGTGACTGTATTAAACACAAAAAACAAGTTTTCCTGAGAGCCTCCTGCAGGTTACTGACCAACTCCTTCTTGGTGAAACACTAAATGCAGAGGGAAATGTAATTTTACTCTGTGGCCTGAATGTGTCTGATCAGTCTTCCTGAATGGCTCATTTGCTAATTAACTTGTATCTAGAAATCACCTGTATCGGAGGAAAGAGAGCCGTAAAGACTGCCAAGTCTTAATTGAGACCAGAGCTCAAATTGCCAATTCAGTGCTCGTGCATGATGGAGACCAGGAGGAAAGACCTGGGAACTACTCCTCAGTGGGAGAAGTGAAAGAAACAGTTAAGGGAAAACAACACCTTCAAACAAATCTATTAAGACCCCCAGGACAAAAGAAAGAAGAGAATTAAAGTCTTCCATGATCATAACTCCAATGGCTGTGGACAGAGGGTGGATGGAATCATTATGTGAAAGAACACATGGCCTTCAGGGTAAGTGCCCCAGAAAAGACTCCTCCCTTGTTGTCA